GAATTTCAACATGAGGCAATGAAGGAGGATAAGATCAAACAGGAAAGATTGGGTGGATTAATATATGATTTGGTGAGAGACGACAGAGAATTTTGGAAATTCCAGAATAGAATTTGGGTACCATGTTATGGTGATCTTAGAAAACGTATTTTGGATGAGGCTCATAAGTCACGTTTTACGATACATCCAGGTACAAATAAAATGTATCAGGATTTGAGGCAACATTATTGGTGGCCAGGTATGAAGAAAGATATTGCTAAACATGTTGAACAATGCCTGACATGTCTTCAAGTAAAGATTGAACACCAGCGTCCTTATGGTAAGTTGCAATCTTTAGAAATTCTGGTTTGAAAGTGGGATCATATCACTATGGATTTCATAACCAAATTGCCGAAAACATCGAAAGGGTATGATGCAATATGGGTGATAGTAGATCGGTTATCTAAATCTGCACACTTCTTACCTATGAAAGAGTCATATTCGATGGAGAGATTGGCAAAGTTATACATTGATGAGATAGTGACACGACATGGTGTTCCTTTATCAATTATTTCTGATAGAGAAAGTCGTTTCACTTCTATGTTTTGGAAGAGTTTTCAGAGAGAAATGGGTTCACAAATTAAGCTAAGTACAGCTTACCATCCTCAAACTGATGGACAGAGTGAGCGAACTATCCAAACTTTAGAAGATATGTTGAGAGCATGTATCATTGATTTTGGAGGGTCATGGGATAGTCATTTGGCTTTGGTTGAATTTGCATACAACAATAGTTATCACTCAAGTATTCAGGCAGCACCTTTTGAGGTTCTGTATGGCCGAAAATGTAGAAATCCTTTGTGCTGGAATGAAATAGATGAAAAACAGTTAGCTGAGCCTGAGTTAGTTTAGCAAACTTCAGATAAAATTGGAGTAATACGGGAACGAATGAAAGCTGCACAAGATAGACAAAGAAGTTATGCAGATAAACGTCGGAAGCCGATTGAATTTCAAATAGGTGATAAAGTAATGTTGAAAGTATCACCTTGGAAAGGAATGGTACGTTTTGGAAAGAGGGAAGTTAAGTCCAAGATATGTTGGACCATTTCCTATTATTGAAAGAGTTGGGGAAGTGGCCTATAAGTTATAACTTCCTTTGGAATTAAGTGGAATTCATGACACGTTTCATGTATCAACTTTGAGGAAGTGTCTAATAAGTCCAGATGTGGCAGTACCATTACCTGAGATTAAGATAGATGAGAGATTATGTTTTGAAGAAACCCCTGAACAAATTACTGATTTCAAAGTAAAGAAGTTACAAAACAAAGAGATTGGGTTAGTAAAGGTTCAGTGGCGTTATCATAAGGAACCAGATGCCACCTGGGAATCAGAATCGGAAATGAGGATCAAATATCCTTATCTGTTTACTTAATGGAATTCCGGGACGGAATTCTTTTAAGGAGAGAATATTGTAATATTCTGGTTATATTACAAGTTTATACATATATTGATATATATGTATACAATTATGTATGTATGTGTGTAATATTTTTGGTGTTAAATTAAAAATTTATTTGTTTTTAAATAGAAAGGGGGGAGGTCGGCTAGATGAGCCGCCCATCACCTCTCCTCCTTTTTGTTTATATATAAATAGATTTTGTGAAGAAAAGGGTACACACACACATATTACTTTTAGAAATTTTCTCTGAAGAATCAARAGGATTGCACAGAAAGAGGATTTCAAAGGCTTTGATTCTYGATTTCTAAAGGTGAGTGTATTAAGAGCTTTGGATATGAATTGCTTACATATAGTTTGATAAGCAAATTGGAACTGGTTATCATGAATTTTGTTGTATTTTATGAGAGTTTTTGTTTAAACCGTCCAAGTGTTGTCCGGATTGAAATCCGAATAATTAAACAGCTCAAGTGTTGTCCGGATTGAAATCCGGACAATTAAACCGCTCATGCCTTGTCCGGAGTATTGTCTAAACCTGACAAGAGGTGACCGGATATCTTTTAAACCGGCCAAGAGGTGACCGGATATTGTTTAAACCGCTCAGAATTTGAGTAATGTATTGATCG